TTCGAGTAAGTGATATTTCGGAACCGTATCTAGTTCCTTCAATACCAATGTGTTCTTGTAATATGAATTTTTTTTCTGTGTTGGTGTTGTGTACTCAGGTGAATAATATGTTTGCGATGTTACTCTGAGTGCATATCCACACCGGGCGAGCTTGAAAAATATGCCCGGCCACGGTGGGATTCGAACCTACGACCTTTGGAATACCAGCCCAATGCTCTTCCAACCGAGCTACGCGGTCAGGACGGTTCGAGTAAGTGATATTTCGGAACAGAATTTAGTTCCTTCGATACCAATGTATTCTAGTAATATGAATTTTTTCTGTGTTGGTGTAGTGTACTCAGGTGAATATGATATTTGTGGTGTTACTCTGAGTGTATATCCACACCGGGCGAGCTTGAAATATATGCCCGGCCACGGTGGGATTCGAACCTACGACCTTTGGAATACTAGCCCAATGCTCTTCCAACTGAGCCACGCGGTCAGGACGGTTCGAGTAAGTGATATTTCGGAACAGAATCTAGTTCCTTCGATACCAATGTATTCTAGTAATATGAATTTTTTTCTGTGTTGGTGTAGTGTACTCAGGTGAATATGATATTTGTGGTGTTATTCTGAGTGTATATCCACACCGGCGAGCTTGAAAAATATGCCCGGCCACGGTGGGATTCGAACCTACGACCTTTGGAATACTAGCCCAATGCTCTTCCAACTGAGCTACGCGGTCAGGACGGTTCCAGTAAGTGATATTTCGGAACAGTATCTAGTTCCTTCAATACCAATGTGTTCCAGTAATATGAGTTTTTTCTGTGCTGGTGTTGTGTACTCAGGTGAATAATATGTTTGTGATGTTACTCTGAGTGCATATCCAGTTGGTTCGAATCCCACCGTGGCCGGGCATGTTTTTCAAGCTCGCCCGGTGTGGATATGCACTCAGAGTAACATCACAAACATATTATTCACCTGAGTACACAACACCAGCACAGAAAAAATTCAGGTTTACATGAGTTTATAAACTTACAGTTGAAAAATTACATGCATGCATGGATGGATGGAAATACACAAAATTTGTATTTTTTACGAAAAAATTAATAATTGTCAGGAAAACGAAGTTTCGAAAACTTGAACTATCTCAATAAAAATATAGTTTCTGCTTATTTTACTCGGGAAAAAGCGGAGAAAATTGGTAAAAATGAAATGTTAATTTAAAGCTCGGAATATTAGTTTAATACACTTTTCGCTACACCAAAAAGTTATGGCTGAATAGATGTCATAGATCAGATATTTCATGTCAAGTCAAGGTTTTGACTCTGAATGTTAGAGTGCCGTTCCCAGTTTAAGCGTGCCGAACCCAAAATTTTTAGAACAAAAATTTCGTCGTGTAAACGCAACAGGCGGACCAAAAAGCATGGGTCCGCGTGCCAAAATTTAAGCGTGCCGTACCCAAAATGAGTGTCGTGTAAACGGGGCTTGAATTTCAGATACCGAAAACGGTTTGAGTTTGTCAAAATCATATATAAATACCAACCGTGCAGACTGAGATAAATTTGGGTGTCTGAATTTCAGACACCGAAAACGGTTTGAGTTTGTCAAAATCATATATACCAAATCAGAGATAAATTAGGTAAATTTGAACAGACACCGAAAACGTCGAGTTTGTCAAAACCATATAAATACCAACCGTGCAGACTGATAAATTTGGGTGTCTGAATTTCATACCGAAAACGGTTTGAGTTTGTCAAAAATCATATATAAATAACCATGCAGACTGAGAGGAATTTGGGTGTCTGAATTTCAGACACCGAAAACGGTTTGAGTTTGTCAAAATCATATATAAATACCAACCATGCAGACTGAGATAAATTAGGTGTCTGAATTTCAGACAGCGAAAACGGTTTGAGTTTGTCAAAATCATATATAAATACCAACCAGAGATAAATTAGGTGTCTGAATTTCAGACAGCGAAAACGGTTTGAGTTTGTCAAAATCATATATAAATACCAACCAGAGATAAATTAGGTGTCTGAATTTCAGACAGCGAAAACGGTTTGAGTTTGTCAAAATCATATATAAATACCAACCAGAGATAAATTGGGTGTCTGAATTTCAGACAGCGAAAACGGTTTGAGTTTGTCAAAATCATATATAAATACCAACCAGAGATAAATTTGGTGTCTGAATTTCAGACAGCGAAAACGGTTTGAGTTTGTCAAAATCATATATAAATACCAACCAGAGATAAATTAGGTGTCTGAATTTCAGACAGCGAAAACGGTTTGAGTTTGTCAAAATCATATATAAATACCAACCAGAGATAAATTAGGTGTCTGAATTTCAGACAGCGAAAACGGTTTGAGTTTGTCAAAATCATATATAAATACCAACCAGAGATAAATTAGGTGTCTGAATTTCAGACAGCGAAAACGGTTTGAGTTTGTCAAAATCATATATAAATACCGACCAGAGATAAATTAGGTGTCTGAATTTCAGACACCGAAAACGGTTTGAGTTTGTCAAAATCATATATAAATACCAACCAGAGATTAGCTGAATTTCAGACACCAAACGGCGAAACTGCTTTATGGTTTGAGCTTGTTTAAATCATATATAGATACCAACCAGAGATAAATAAGGTAGCTGAATTTTAGCCTGATAGAGGGTTTCGAAGCACCTTTCCGAAGAAATGAATTATAATACTGCATATCATAGCTAGCTTTGTTACTTGTGGAGTTGTGACCTGCTGACCTGAACATCATTAATGAGCTACTATAAATAATGATGGCTCAATGAAACAACTAGATTGTGAGATAATTTAATGATCGACATCGAAAGTTTTTATTATATTATTGACAACTATAAATTATAATTTGAATATTTGGCACAAGATCAAGGAACACTCTAAACTCTTTCTCGACACTGTAATACTGTATAGACACGCATTGCGAATTTGACGTTTCATATCTTCGATTCATTGAATGCTACAAAAACAGAAATACCACCATTCGATTCAGTGTAACAATATCTCCTTATTTCTAGCGATAGTTTTAGACAATGGCAACATTATAGCGATTTATGAGCTTTGAAAGTCAAGCAAGCTCGTATATGATCAAATTACGCAATATTACTAACAAATTATAAACATAAACATACTTTCGCCGAACATAACTTCGGCCCCTTGAGACGTATGCCCATTGTAATAGTCTTGTTCGAGTAAGTATTCAAAACACTGTTTACATTGTTATTTTCAAGCTTCTATCCTTAAAATGTGATCTTGTAGTGCGGCATTTACATTACATACGTTTGTATCGCGTGACTCTGCAAATCAGCAAATGCCAGAAATGTTCTACAGGTCAAAGTGCACATATACGCGTGAAGGTCCAGACACACCGGACGCGATTCGACAAGGAGACGCGATTTTTCGATTTTCACTGACAGATAAGGCGATAACTTTGATCCTTATGTTTTATTTGTTCTTCCAGATTAACAAAAAGGTAAAATACTTTAATTTGTCTAACGTTTCGGTTTCCTAAACGGAAACCATTATCAAAGACTTGAATCTATTAAAAGTTTTCCGTTACTATCTTGCGTCAGATGCAACCTTGCGAGATTACTGACGCGTGCGTTCAAATCGGTCTGCGCGTGCACGTTCACTAGCTATTAGACAAATTAAAGTATTTTACCTTTTTGTTAATCTGGAAGAACAAATAAAACATATTGTTTCAACCTGGATTCAAACCCTTCAATGAACTTTGATCCTATAGTTTAAATTTTCCAAATATTTAGAAGGGCTATAACATTTTGAGTTATTTAGCTTTTAAAATTTGCTCTCATTGGCTGTTTTATTAACTTTCAAAAACTAAAAAAAAAGGGTCGCGTTGTCGAATCGCGTCCGGTGTGCAGACCTTGAGACGTCATCGCGGCTACAAGAGCTCTTTATTGGCCAAGTATTGCGCAATACACGCGCGTGCGAGTAAAACCCCGCGGCATCTTGAAATATTCAAAATAAAATATTTCTATACTCTCCGTATTCAAACGAAACTTTTCACACGAAAGCGCTTGAATAGCCTTTGAATACTCATATAGCCTTTTAGAAAATGACGATAAGAAAAGATATTCAACTTTTTCTCGATATGAAATACAGAATGTTTGGCCAAGCGGGGAGTATAAAATATATGATTGTTTCGGTTTGTGTAACGACCCCCCGCTCGAAAGGTTATTTTGTGAGGATTTCAATAGTGGTTTTTGTTTTAGGGGGGGGGAGGGCTAAAAACCCGCCGAGATATTTACATTAGCAAAACTGAATTGTAACGTGATACGAAAACAGTTGTCGAGAAAGAGTTAAAATCAACTATTAATACATTGCTCTTACTATTTACAATTGGCACAGTTCTCGTAGCATTGTTTTTGCTTTTTCATGTTTTTCTTCCGCCTTGCCTTGATAGCTGCGGCAACTCCAGCAACTGAAAACAATTACATAAAAGTAGATGAAGTAGAGGAACATGTGATACATTTAAAACATATACATGATACACAAAGCTTTATACATGCACGCATATACATACATATTTGATTGTTAATTGCTTATAATTTGATTTCAAAACAACTTGTACGAAAGGAAGTCAAAGTTCAATTTTCAGTTAAATATCATCCTGATATTCACATATACTGTATACAGTATTACAATATCATATGACATATCATTTATATTTTACGTGCTGCAGGGCTAAAAACGATCAGGTTTTTGCAACATTGATAAAAACAGGATTGTACATGGACGCATATACATACATATTTGATTGTTAATTGCTTATAATTTGATTTCAAAACAACTTGTACGAAAGGAAGTCAAAGTTCAATTTTCAGTTAAATATCATCCTGATATTCACATATACTGTATACAGTATTACAATATCATATGACATATCATTTATATTTTACGTGCTGCAGGGCTAAAAACGATCAGGTTTTTGCAACATTGATAAAAACAGGATTGAACAATGTTGAGCTGTCCATATGGCACATTGTACACAGTTTTCAATAATACTGAACATTAGTATAACTACATACTGTGATTATTGAAAATTCTCGACACTGATTGGTTGCTATTGAGGTGATTATATAGAGAATAATACATGGGTACGCGGAATATTAATCTAATAGTTGTATTTAATTATACTAAAACAATTATACACCTCAGGCTCAGTGATTATCGTGAATAAAAGCTTGACTTCGTCTCGGTTTTTATTCACCGATAATCACTTCGCCTTCGGCGAATAATTGTTAAATAATCACCTCCCTTTCGGACAACAATTGTTAAATATTGTTACACCCGATTCAACACAACATTGTTCAACCCTGTTATTAAACATCGGGCTCATAATTCTTTACGCGTGTACCGGAAAATAGTATGCCGTCGCGTAGCAAAAAGTGAACAAAATCAAATTTGACAATTTGATTTTAAACTGACAAAAATCTGAAGAAACTTGTTGTAAATATGAAGATTTACAGTCGTGCCAACAGAAGCCTTCCGAAAAATGTTGACCAGTTCATTTCCTAAGTCGAGGAATTCCTCTGAGCAATTCCTCAACAATTTGATAAGTTCCTTAAAAAATTCCTAACTTCCTGTTTCATTGACCAATCAAATTTTATATTTTACTTTTGAGCAATCCGATTGGTCATTGGTCAATGAAACAGGAAGTTAGAATCTTTTTAATCAAATTGTTCAGGAATTGTTCAGAGGAAGTCCTCGAAGTTAGGAAATGAACTGGTCAATACTTTTCGGAACGCTTCTATTGGCACGACTGTAACGAGAACCAATATAAGTTTAACACACTCTGTGTTTTATTAGTATTTGATGTATTATTAGTATATATTAGTATTTTATCAACACGGGTGTCATACCGTACCTTCTGGTATATTTACATCCAGTATCCAGTCACCTGGACGACTGAACAGCTGCACTAGCCTGCGGCACACTTCCAGCTCTTTTTGCTCCGCATTTACCACCATAAAATTATTCACATCTGCATCAAAATTAAAGTGGTCTTGAAGAACACGTTGCCCAAGTGCAGCATGGTAAACAAGGAATCCTTCCACAGCTTTGACCATACCAAGAACTCCTGTAAAATGCAGGTACAATGCAAAATGAAAATTTGTAGTATGCATTGCGAAATATGATAGCGTCATTGTTTATGTATGTTCAACCATGGCGCCACAATATGCCATTGAGACTTCAAATATTATGGCTAATGATTAGCAAAGTTGTAGAGTTACACATTTTATTTTGGGACTATAAATTAAGATTTGTTAAGAACGTTAACTAATCAAGTGTAGAGCCCCTGACACGTAAAATTGTTTGGCTGGTATTAGACAAAGTAAAATAATTAAGTTCAAAGTGTCAGTCAGTGTTGAATAAGTACATGAATGCAATAAATTAACCCATTTACCGGCAATAATCCACCACGGACGAGTAAATATACTAGACTTTCCCAAAGTCCTTTCCAGTTTTCGCGGTTCGTACAGTAAGTACGCTGGAAAGGACTTTTCTCCCTTACATCGCGCCAAATATACCGGTGAATTGTTTGACTGTGCGCCAAATCTACCGGTGGATTTTTTGACCGGGTGTGATTAGGAGTGTGTCATTATTCTAGCCAATAAAAGCGCATATACAGTATCAATTATTTGAATTAATTATTCATTTGAATAATTATACAGTAAGGGGCCGACCATTTAACTTTTGAGGTGGGGGGGGGTATGGAGGTAATTTTGAAAAAATATTCCTGTAAGGCTATTTCTGAACAAAAAACCCTGGACAATCAAACTGGGGGGAGGGGGGGGGGGATATCCTGCCCCATTATTTAGTGGGGAAAAATGGTTGCAGGGATCGATTTGATCTGTCCCAGAAGATCAGCTGATTTGATTTTCAAGGACTAGTGTAAGGTTAATTTCTTGTTTGAAAACTCCTCAAAGTGCTGGAAATACAGTGTACCTAATCTGAACTTCAAGAAATCCAACATTTCCTGGGGTGGGGGTGCTCCCAAACCCCTCTAGAGACTTGCACCTTCGGTTCGTCATATTCGAGATCGATATATACCAGATGATTTAACACCTTTCACACAAGTGAAACCAAGCTCACACATGCCACGATGTTCCCCAATCCATTTTTGAATTTCCATTAATTGATGGATGTCTCCCAGTATGGCTATGTTGAATATGTGACGCACACCAAAATTCAAACGATCCATTAGGTCCAACAAACCTATTGCAGATGTTGTCATATCATGCTCCTAAAAAAGAACACATTCATTATGAACCGTAATGTTCAAACAGTTAAACCTTTTTTACTGTACACGTACCTGAAGTGGTTTTGGAAGCTTGTACAGGGCCAACGAAAATCCTTTTTCCTGCCCATATGACCCTTGTTGCAGCCCCAATGGATCAGTGCACATGTGAACAATGCCCTTAGTTCCCTGGTCCATCAGAAATATGTTGGGCGACACAATTAATGGCAATTGACTGAATTCCTGGCCCGTCTCACCGGCCAGACTCTCTCGGAGGTAGTCCAAGTATTGCCTGAAAATAAGGTTGGTTTCATCTTTCCCCTAGTAAATAGAAACACAGCTTCAAGAATGTATAAAACACAAGATAAAGTTGGGAAACTCATGGTAGAAAGGCCCTTGCTTTGGTTATAAAAATCAGGAAAGCCACTTCGTGAGTAGACTTGCTCCGAGTCTTGCTTGAAATGGAGAACGAGCGGGACTTGTAAAACTCGCCACTCATTACTGTCGATGCAATGGAATTGTTGATAAAATATTACATGAATTCATTTCCTCAGTTGATAGAAAATTGATCAACTTCCTGTTACTTTTAGACAAGCCAATTAGATTTCGAACAAGAACAGATTAACCAATAGGAAACGCACAGGAAGTAAAAAGAAATTTGAATTCGTATGAATTGATCAACTTGAGGTATTAATGAATTCATGCAATATGTTATCAACACTTTTCGACCTAAACACTCCACACTGTCCTCTTTGATACAAATGTGTGACGATCTACTTGAGAATATGGATAATGGCAAAATAAATTGTGTCGTGTTCCTTGATGTACGTAAGGCCTTTGATTGTATAAACCATGAAATACTATTAAAAAAGATGCTTAACTACTTTGGTATATCACGAATTCCACTAAATTGGTTCAAGTCTTATCTATCTGATAGAGATAAGCGAGACTTGGAGCAAGTCTACCTTATGGGTATATAAAGTGACATAGATAAATACCCACATACTGTAACAGCAGCACATTCTCAAAGTGATTATTTTTAAAAGCTTGTTGTTACTTGATCTGACGAACAATCCTTACCCATTAAGACATACTGTTCATAATTAACGATATAAAATACATTGTGCGACACATGTATATAATATACTTACTGCAAATTTCCTCAACTGGTCAACATTCACTTTTTCTCCCAGTTTTGTGCTGAGGGTTTCCCATTTCCAGCCAAGAAATGAGGAAACCACTTTCTGCACAGGCTGCAGGATTTTGAGCTCTTTGCACAAAGACTTTAACTCATCAAGACTGATGCTTTGGTCTGCTACCTAGAAAGCAATGGAACAAGAATGATTGAATATAATTTGAACTGTGTAATATCACAGAGTAGAGACATACAGAGACGTAACTGACCGTTGTAAACACTGCGTTAGATTACGTTATCATGTACCCACTTTTTTCAGGCAACCGGGCGAAAAATGATCAACTGCGCGACGTTGAGCAAGTTTAAAGTGAGTCGTCATCAAGTCGTCATCCAATCACATGCATGCATCTAGTAACTTGCCGCGAATCCGCACAAAAAGTGGGTACACTAGTTACGTCTCTGTATGTGTCTACTCTGTGGTAATATCTGCCATTCCATTGCGACTGTGTGTCCAAGTCAGGAGATTAAAAAGGATATTTCTGCCACTTCTGATTTTGCAAAAGACAGACTTGCTTCGAACAAAGAAGAGGCCTGGGATATAGCGACTTTTTTGTGACTCGTGTGACAGCCACAAATAAAAATGTTTCATCTTACGGGATTTTTATTCAATTTCCTAGTGACTTATTTAATGCATATACAGTGTAGTTCTAGCTTTACAGGACATACAAAGAGAACATGTAACTATGCACTCTTAAAAATAGGTGTGCTAAAGAACACACCTTGGTGTGTTATTTAGCACACAAGGTGTGCTAAAATAGCACACAAGGTGTGTTTTCTTGTCACTGAACACACAAAGGTGTGCTACAAAACACACCAAGGTGTGCTACAAAACACACCAAGGTGTGCTGAGCAGAACACAATGTACGCAAAAGGTGTGTTCTGTAACACACCTTTATTTAACACACCTTTCGAGTAAGGGTAAGGTGTGCTCAATTAACACACCTTTGAAAGATAACACACCTTTGGAAGATAACACACCTTTTAAAATAGCACGCCTTTCTCCATTAACACACCTTTTTCTACTAACACATCTTTTTTGTGCCCCAAAATAGCACACTTTTTTTCAATAACACACCTTAAAATAACACACCTTTGACGTTGTTAAATTAAGCACATCTTTTGGTGAAAGGTGTGCTTTTGTAACACACCTTCAAAAAAGATTTGCTAATTAAGCACACCTTTGGAACAAACACACCTTTTTAACTTACACATTTTTCATAAAGGCACAGAAATATCCCATGCAAGGATCTCTAACCTATATTCCAATCTACAGTATTTATTTATTCAAATACTGTAGAATTAGGGCAGTATTTGCTATACAAATTCGTATAGTGAAAAAGCTGCAATTTCGTGTAAAATCATCACAAGATTTAGCTGATTGATGCGCTTTTTCATTCGTATATTGCCAAGTCAGGTTGCTGTATATTACCAGTATATCGGATTCTTATTGTTGAATCGCAAACGCGGCTATCGAATGTAGCCAGAATAGGCCCAGAAATTGTCAGCGAGTTTTTCTCGTCAAATTAATCTATATCCTTTATTTGCTGCGTATTTATTAATCTGTAATTTGAACTTGTGGAATGTTCTGTTGCGGAATATAATTTGCGCCAAGTGGAAGTTCCAGAATTTCAACTATTTTTCAACCAATTAACATGCTTAGAATATATCACGTGTTGTAGTAATTCGATCTGTTGATAACAATTAACAAGCGCTAAGTTCGATCTTTTGAGAGCAAATATTCAAAGAGGACAGGATTTTTATTCAAATTTTCTACTTATAAAGTTCCAAAGACCTAATAAAATACATGGAATTTGTTTTCAAAGGTATGTCTATTGTGTATTTACTATTTGTATGCGGATAGTTACTTGATATACTGTATAGTTATGTTTTTAAATCGAAGGCTTGTATTTGTATTAATACTTTTTTACCGAAGGCATCTAAACGTTCAGTTGTAAATTTTCGATTAATTTCTATTAGCAGAAGTGTATAAATCTAATCTACACTCTACTTATCTGTGTTTTAAGAAAATCGTATAGCTTATTTGTGTGATATACGTGTATGCTGTATTTCCTGTGAAATATTTGCCATTTATAGTTGGCATGCATTGTATACTTAATACAAATCACATAAATACAATGTGATTTGTTTGAAGTCAAATTAATAGCATATAGATAGCATTGTAATAGCCCATCTCCCAATATTACCCAATGTATGGCATGTGCTTGTTATGGTATTAAGCCCTCCTATCGGTCACCCTAAAACATGTGTGAAGAGCTGCTTATATGGTCAAGAAAGCCATCCCAGGTAGCCCGGCTATACTGTAGCTTGCTTTCCTTGGATGAATGTCTGTTTACATGAGCCTCTCTAGATGGGCAGGGTCGCCAAATCGAATCAACCAGACTGAGTTTTATAATAGAAGCACGGCATTTTCCAATACGGTAACCAACATCACACTTTTGCAGACAGTTTCGAAATGTAACTGATAAAAACAATTACCGAGATATTTTAACCCTTTAAGTGGCAATGCGCCCTACTTTATTATTTTACTTTGTCTAACATCAGACAATTTTACTTCTCAGGAGGAGAATCTGCCCCTCAATGGGTTAATCAGACTATCTGCCTATAGGATGCACCCTGTTTATCCTGTAAGGGGCAATGTGGCCAGATGTGCCCTACTTTATTATTTTACATTGTCTTATACCTAACAATGTTACTCGTCAGGGGGAGAGTGCCTGAATCCAGTACATGCACTACAAAAAAATTATCCGACAATGAAAACATAAACTTACATTAAAGATGCCCAGATTTCTGCGGCAAGGCGACTTGCCCAATCGGGCAAACAAGATAAAACGTTTACTTGCCCATCATGAATTTCACTTGTCTCGGGCAACTAGTGGGCAAGTCTTAAGTTACACCTCTGCTTGCTTTTTACACTAGAAAACAACCAAAAATAGCAAATTCATTGTCACTCAATAATTTGCTTCTGTTATATATCAACCTTATATATTTTTTCTTAATAGTGGTTGTATTTAATATGGATTTATTATATCCTGTGATGCTGAATGAAAAGTTATCGAAGCATCCCAGGAGAAGGCAAGTCATCTAAACAAGTGGCAATATATATGATCATTAATGGCATTCTAAGTACGGTACTTCATGGTCTATTTGGAAAATGTTATTCTTTTGCTTCAGAGCATGTTTATGGATTACCAAACCATGCAAGGAAAGAACTAGGAGTTGCCGACTGGTGGTATAGTACAGCTTGTTTTGTGCTAAAATTTAGCTAATGGACTTGCACGACATTAGACATATATATGCTTGATTGAGCACTGACACTACATGCAGTGTATTTTACTTGTAAATATTCAAGATTGAACAGAATGTTTAACCCTTTAAGTGGCAATGTGCTCTACTTTATTATTTTATTATTTTGTGTCCAATGCAAGGTATGCTGCCACTCAATGGCTTAAAGTCTTTCTGTAGATGGAAATTTTGAACAATAACTATGTAATAGCTATTGTGCCGGGAATGAAACCCCTGTGATTCGGATCAGCTCCTTAATTGCAAAGAGTCCATCAAGCCCCAAGAGTCAATGAAGGTCACCAGCAGTTTATGTATATAATACTGATACCAGTTAACTTAATATACTACCACTGACACCACCATGGTTTATATATGTACAGCAACTTGTGGTGACCTCTTGGCAAACAGACACTTTAAGTCAGAGGGCAGCAGTAGAATTGCAGGGCTGCCGGTAGGTTCAGTTCATGCTGGCAGACTTGCAATTGCTCTCTGAGTTATTTGCAGTGTGTTTGTTCACTGCAACCAGGTATATCAATCATGTTTCGCTTGCTACTCTGAATTAAATAAATAATTACAAAGCCTGGTGGAATTGCAATCAAGACCCAGTGTTTAGACACTCCAGTCTAGTGTCTTCTTTACTCTTTAGGGGTGATCTATAGTTGCAATTGTGGCTTCTTAAATACCCGACACAATCTCGTGTTTGGTGTCACACACATGTTCTGATAAAGCTGCTTTTCCCTTGTTTTAAAGTTGAAACAGCCCTTTGATGTTCTTTTAGCCATGTACCAAACTGGTGTAGACTGACCGAAATACTCTTTTTCGCAGTCACCGCATGGTACTGTATAGAATATACAGCATGAGTTTTCTGATTTGTTTTAATAGGATCTTTTGGCTTTGTGAAAATATGGCCTAAAGTCAAAATAATATGGTTTTAAGGCAACCTTAATATGACATGCATCTCATTGGCAGGTGACGTCATCCCTTGGGTATTTAAGAAGCGACAATTGCAACTTTAGATCACCCCTGACGAAGACACTAGACTGGAGTGTCAAAATGCTGGGTCTTGATTACAATTCAACTAGACTTTGTAATAATTTATTTAAACCAGAGCGAGCGAAACATGTTCTCAGTTAGTTCTATGAAACACGTGTTAACTGTACAGTTTCCATTTGAAATGTCCATCTACAAAAACCCATGATCAGTCAGCTAATATTGTTGCCTTACTAGAGTAGGCTGTTGATTGTCTCCTATATTTAATATTGGCTATTTGCATCATCCTGCAATCCATTATATTATACACATGCAGCCATGATATCATCAATCAAACTTTGAACTTAATATAAAACTGTATTCAAAGAATGTTATCGAGCGTAAGAATATATCATTATATGCTAAAGCAAATCGTATTTCCTCTTACAATACTGTATACCTTGCATATAGAAGGATAATAAATTATTTTGACTTAAAAATGTCTTTATTGATTTCTTAGGTTAATCAATCAGGTGTGTTACAGTAGCACGCCTTAAGTTGTGTCACAGCAGCACACTTTAAGGTGTGTTACTGTAGCACATCTTCAGGCGTGTTACAGCAGCACACCTTAAAGGTGTGTTACAGCAGCACACCTTAAAGGTGTGTTACAGCAGCACACCTTAAGGTGTGTTACAGCAACACGCCAAGGCGTGCTAACAAACACACCAAGGTGTGCTAACAAACACACCTTTTTTCAAAACACACCTAAAGGTGTGTTGTTTTCTGGACAAGCGAATAACACACCTAAAGGTGTGCTACTGTAACACACCTTAAGGTGTGTTGTTTTCTGGA